TCGATTACTTGACCGACCGTGCACATGGTCCTATGCCCAAAACAGTTCCATGAAATCAGGGCAACTTTGGGAACATAAAAACAAAGTTTTAAACAGATTTCCAAACTGAGGAAGAGAATGGTTCATGGGAAGGCAAAATAGGGGTTTTGTCACATAGCTCCCCTCCAGTTACATGGGACGGCATACCTGCCTAGACCCCAATGGGTTGGCCTGGTGATGTCCTGTCAAGTTGGTTATTTTTCTAGCTCTGGAAAGTGCCGTACCAGGGACACCCAGGGCAAGCCACTAATGGCGGTTGGGGAGATTTAACTCCCGAACAGGGTCTTTGTATATGGCCCATAGTCAGTGGGCAGGAGCCTATTGTCCACACTCCTCCAGGAGCCCATGGCGAACGTCCAGGCAAAGGGGCATTCGTCACATATCTCCTGGGGAGACAAACCAGACCCCAGACCTCCAATCGGTTTAGGTCTGTGTTAGTCTGGTGTCTTTTCTTAGATTGTGCCGTGCCCAAGAACGCCTCCTGCCACATGCTCCCAGGTATAACTCTGGGGTCTTTCTGGGCATCACTTGGTTGCTGTAGGGGAAGGGCGCAATTCTCCCCTCTCAGGGATACACAGCACTGTAGGGGAGGGAAACAGAGGGCACCATATCCCAGACATTCACTCTGTAGGGAGAGGACATGAGGTATAATATTTACACGCAGGGAAAGGACACGAGTTATAATGTTTACACGCAGTGAGTACACGAGGTATAATGTTTACACGCGGTGAGAGGACACGAGGTATAATGTTTACACGCGGTGAGAGGACACGAGGTATAATGTTTACACGCAGGGAGCGGACACGAGGTATAATGTTTACACGCAGTGAGCGGACACGAGGTATAATGTTTACACGCAGTGAGCGGACACGAGGTATAATGTTTACACGCAGTGAGCGGACACGAGGTATAATGTTTACACGCAGTGAGAGGACACGAGGTATAATGTTTACACGCGGTGAGAGGACACGAGGTATAATGTTTACACGCGGTGAGAGGACACGAGGTATAATGTTTACACGCGGTGAGAGGACACGAGGTATAATGTTTACACGCGGTGAGAGGACACGAGGTATAATGTTTACACGCGGTGAGAGGACACGAGGTATAATGTTTACACGCGGTGAGAGGACACGAGGTATAATGTTTACACGCAGTGAGAGGACACGAGGTATAATGTTTACACACAGTGAGAGGACACGAGGTATAATGTTTACACACTGTGAGAGGACATTTACAGATACCCGCAGGGCACAGATTAAGGTTTTGCCTATTGTACAGAGCTGCGGAATATATTGGTGCTTTGTAAATAACAATAGATGATTATAACCTGTGCATATTTTGAGTGACTTGTTTAGTACCTGCACAGATTAACCCTTTTCCAAACAAACCATTCCAGACACATGCAGAGCACAGATTAACCCTTTACACTGCCAGGGGTATATGTCTAATAACAAAGTAATACTTCGATATCTACATAACTATATGCTTTTGTTTTCAGAGCCATAGTGAAGCACTAGACATATGTTAATTATGCAATGCTCTGCATTCCAGTGTTTCACTGATTAGTAGCATTTACTCTGTGAATAAATGGTTATGAACATAAAATCACATATCACATATTTTTCTACCACTTCCCCCTGTACAATGTAAGCAGACAGCATTGGAATTCAGACTAGTCCAAACTGATCAGATTCCTTCCCTCTTCAAACCCCCCCCCCTTCTCCTTTTCAAAGCCAAACCTCTCCTTCTCCTCTTCAATCCTAACCTTCCTTTTTCCTCTCCAATTCCAACCTCTACTTCTCCTTTTCAAACCCAACCCCCCTCTCTCTCCAATCCCAAACCTCCCCCTTCGTACCCCAAAAGGAGAAGCTTCCCTTGCCTGGTTTCACACCAGGACCTAGCGAACGGAGACTAGCCGGTCGAGGGACCGATGCGAGGATCCCTGAGATTGGTGTGGGCACTTTGAGGCACTGTGGGGACCCCCGGGGATTTAGTGGCGGGCTTTGGGGACAAAGGGAATGGAGTCCCTACCCACGCTGGGCCCTTAGGGAGGGGGAGGATTGTGGGATGTGTCTTCATATGTGTGTGTGTGTTCCCCCCCTTGCACAGGGTATGCATAAAAGCTGTTTATAGCCAATAAAATTGTGTTGTACCTCCAGGAGTGGTTCCTGAGTGGCTGAAGGCAATGAATTAGCGGAAGTAAGTGGTTGGGTTACCCAACCTTCAAACCCAACCCTTAATACACACCTTTCCCTTTCTAATCCACCCACCCCTCACTTTACCTCTCCTGAGTAATAATCATAATAACCATAAAAACCCACTTCTCTTCTAATCCCCCTTCTTTTCTAATGCACACCCCTCACTCCACCTCTCCTAATCCACTTTTCCTATTACTTTACCTCCAATCCACCCCCTTTTTTATCTACTCTCCAGAACTGATAATTTCAATATATTCTAGGCCAAGGTAACTGAGGTAGATTAAATATAGTGTTGCATGTTTATGGGTAGCGTATGTGTGGTATTGTGGTGGAGAGGCTGCTTGTGGGATAGAGTGTGACATCACTTCTGACACCCCTGCACCATGTCATTTCTGTGACCTTGTTTTAACGCATTTTGGTGTCATAGGGATAACATGGACCAATCGGAGTGTTTCCATGTATATATATTGGTTTTGGACACTTGGTCTTTGTCCGGTCGTGGCTTCCATTTTGGTTTCCAGTCAGTGCGTTTCTCTTGTATTCTAATTTTCTGGCTTTAACCTCGGCTTGTTCTTGACTGATTATTTTTGTGCTCCTGACCATGGCTCTTTTCAGATTTTTGATTACCCTTTATGTCCAGCATGGCCATTCTAAGGACCAGCATACGCTATTGTCAGTTTAGCTGATCCAGGTTCTGGGTGAGGCACTGGATCCTGACATTCTCCTAAATCACACACACCCCTCACTTCACCTCTTCTAAACCACACAACCCTCCTCCCATGATCTATACTGGCTTTCGTTCACGCCACCTCTCCTGCACTGACACAGTGATCACATTTGACGTGCACGGCGACACAGTGATCACATTTGACGTGCATGGCGACACAGTGATCACATTTGACGTGCACGGCGACAGTGATCACATTTGACGTGCACGGTGAGACACAGTGAACATTACAACACAAATAAATGCAGGATAAATTCAAATCAATAAAATTAAATGTAGTGTCTCCACATTGAGGCATTGTCACATAAGAATAATGTAATCCAAGAATGTTTCAATAAATATCTAATTCAGTGAAATCACAAACTCAACCTCTCCTGAACTCACTCCCCATTCACTGCACCTCCCCTGAACTCACTCCCCATTCACTGCATCTCTCCTGAACTCACTCCCCATTCACTGCACCTCCCCTAAACTCACTCCCCATTCACTGCACTTCTCCTGAACCAACTCCCCATTCACTGCACTTCTCCTGAACCAACTCCCCATTCACTGCACCTCCCCTGAACTCACTCCCCATTCACTGCACCTCCCCTGAACTCACTCCCCATTCACTCCACCTCTCCTAAACTCACTCCCCATTCACTGCACCTCTCCTGAACCCACTCCCCATTCACTGCATCTCTCCTGAACTCACTCCCCATTCACTGCACCTCACCTAAACTCACTCCCCATTCACTGCACCTCTCCTAAACTCACTCCCCATTCACTGCACCTCCCCTGAA